TTCAGAAATTAACTACTGAAATTCCAAAACAGTCTTCTGTTTAAATCTCCTCTCTATAGTTGTATTTTTAAATCACTTTTTTCCATCTTAAGCCTGTTCTTTATCCCCATCATCAGCAAGAATGTGTATTACAAAATAAGGTGTATCTACTTAATTGATATGACCTGCTTATGTTAGTTCATAATTTTTTTTGACCATTTCACTATACATGCGAGTATGAAGATCACACTAACATGGCATGACCTGAAAAAGAATTAGTTCCCCTAGGAAAAACCATAGCAGCGGTTAGTCACAAGGGATTTTTGACCATCACAGACATGCACGTGGGTTTGCTGGAACCAAAGGCTTGTGAGAGGGTGAGGGTGCACACGTGCCCGGCAGCGTAGAGCCAGTGAGTTAATTTGACATTTGCTTCTGCGCAGTGTCCCAGTAACATTTTTTGAGTAATCCGTTCATGTAAATTCAAACTATGCATAGTTTGGCTTATTTAAAAAGTGAATAAATTGCATATTACTAAGATGCCCTTGATAGCACGCTGTACGCTTGCCTACAGCGAAGAATTACTAGCTTGTTTACTGTCTTTTAGCTTCCTTATCCAAAGTAGCCTTAAGGCAATGACAAAGCATGACCTTGAATCTGTTATTCAGCATTTCAGGTTTTGGATATCCCCAAAATTTCCTCCAGACTTCAAGATTGGCATCACCTGCCTCCATTCCCTGTTGAAAAATGCCCTTTTTTTTCCTTACTGAAATGCAGTGAGAACTTGTCTTGCATTTACACTGCTGAACACCAACTGCCAAAGATGAGGAATAATTTCGAAACAGGCTTCCTATTTTTCAAGTCTCACATCTTCTGCAGCACTGTGACAGGCTGATGAATGCCATGTTGGCAGGGTAGCACCATCGATAAAGCAGCTAGTAGATTAGTGATGCTGAGTGTGAGATGCTAATGGGTGTCTGGAGCTCTGCAGCCACTTGCTTAACCCTTCGTCAAGGGGTTGTATAGCAGTGTTCATCTGCACTCCTATACAGAATAGTACAGGTGAACAGCAAGCAATAGGCATAGAGAGTAGGCTGCTTGCACTATGGGAGATGATATGGAACATTTGATTTGATTTACTTTTTATTTTTAATGTGCAGCATTACCAGCTTGGTTCTGGATCAGAAACAGCACTTGAATTACCTTGTAAGACGTATTGAATCTTCCTTATAAGTCATTGTCAAATTTGAAGGTGTGGACTGTGAGCTTCATGGGTTGACTCTGTACTAGGAAAAATATTTTTTCTGTTGGTTTTTCAGGCTACTTATAGCAAAACTTTCCAGCTGTGGTATCTTGATGCATACAGACAACCTATAGTAAAACAATCTGTGTGATAAATACTGTGTATAATTAGTAGTAGTCTTTTGTTTTGAAAATACTTCCGTCTTTCTTGCCAAGCTTTTCTTCTTTTGGTTAATGAGAAACTCGACATGAGCCGGCTTCAGTGTGTGCTTGCAGCCCAGAAAGCCAACCGTATCCTGGGCTGTATCAAAAGAAGCGTGACCAGCAGGTCAAAGGAGGTGATCCTGCCCCTCTACTCTGCTCTTGTGAGACCTCACTTGGAGTATTGTGTCCAGTTCTGGTGTCCTCAACATAAAAAGGACATGGAGCTGTTGGAGCAAGTCCAGAGGAGGGCCACGAGGACGATCAGGGGGCTGGAGCACCTCCCGTATGAAGACAGGCTGAGAAAGCTGGGGCTGTTCAGCCTGGAAAAGAGAAGGCTGCGTGGAGACCTCATAGCAGCCTTCCAGTATCTGAAGGGGGCCTATAAGGATGCTGGAGAGGACCTCTTCATTAGGGACTGTAGCGGTAGGACAAGGGGTAATGGCTTCAAACTTAGACAGGGGAAGTTTAGATTAGATATAAGGAAGAAGTTCTTTCCAGTGAGGGTGGTGAGGCACTGGAATGGGTTGCCCAAGGAAGTTGTGAATGCTCCATCCCTGGCAGTGTTCAAGGCCAGGTTGGACAGAGCCTTGGGTGACATAGTTTAGTGTGTGGTGTCCGTGCTCATGGCAGGGTTGGAACTAGATGATCTTAAGGTCCTTTCCAACCCTAACTATTCTATGATTCTTCATCTTTGGTTGTTTGGGGGTTTTTGTTGGTTTTTTGATTTTGTTTTTTTTGTTTGGTGGGTTGGTTTGGTTTGGTTTTGGGGCTTTTTTGTGTTCAAGCTGGTAAAAAGTTGAGTTTGGGAGTAGGGAAGAAAAATCTATGTAAGGCTTTTGAATGTAAGAAATCCTTTTTGCATATTCTTTGTGTTTTTTCAATAGCAAGCAGTTATTTTACTCACCATCACCTGCACCACAAGGAAGCTGGCAAGTACTCAAAATGTGCTACTCTGCCTCTGCATGGGCTAGGCTAAAGGAAGACAGGCTGTGTGCTAGGGTGAGGCAGGTTCTTGCTGCTGAACAGTGCTGCCCAGCTCAACAGGCAAGTCAATGGTTTGCTGTAGTGTTGCTTTCAAAATGTACTGCTTTTTACATTTAACAAAAAAAAAGAAAAACAGGTCATATCTGTCAAATGTGTCCAGCTGCTGCATTTCACTTTAGTGTTCAAAACTTGGTTTTTGGGACTGTGATAAATATAGCAGTATCCCTGTACCTTTTTAAGGTCAGAAACCTTCCTCCTTCTAACTCATTTTTTGAACTATTAGGTGCACAGTGTCTGTTGCTAATGAAGCTGGCCATGGACTTTGTGTGGCCTCTTTGAGCCGCTTCTATTTTAGTACCTATTTCCTTTAATGACTGAGCCATGGGTAGCTTTAGCCATCTGACTCCTTCTGCTGGCCTCTGGCCTCAACACTGGTCATCCTGGTCCCAGCTGCATCCTGCTGCAAGACACTAGTCTGTCAGCAGAGATCAGATGTTCCTAACCGTGTGGTGCTTCTTGCAAAAGTTGTCCAGTTTGGTATTTTAACAGTAGGCGTATGAAAACACGGTATTTCCCTGTAGCTGTGTTAGCTGGGCCAAGGGACATTGTGGGTTAAAGGATGTTTCAATTCAAACACTATGTATCAGTAGTAGATATAATTGACATATCTTCAAAACCAGTTTTAAAATAACTGGTATATTTTATTATAGGCAGAAAATGTAGTGAGTGGATTATATCCAGTTGCATAATACAATTGCATCCTGCTCTTCAGTGCCTCTTACTAATGCAATAGTAATGGGGGATTTCCATCTGCTTTTGCAGCGAATTCACAGAGGACAGACTCTGAGCCTAAGAGACGTCTATCAGTGTCCCCCCTCTCTATTCTCAGCTTAGTACCAGTATAGATTTGGCTTTGTGCCACTACTATGTGTAAGCTCTTCCCTACAGTTTTCATTCTGGCTTCCAATTTACTACAGGATTTCCTC